AATAAAGGACATCCATGCTCAATATCTTATATATCAATTTTATTTAAATATATTTTTATTGATTTTGTTTTTAGAGATAACAGAAGTGCAGCACAGATAGAAACTTCTATGTGAGAGAGAAGCATCCATCTGCTGCCTCCTGCACGCCCCCTACTGGGGACGGAGCCCACCACCCAGCCATGTGCCCTGACCAGGAATCAAACCTGGTCCTTTCAGACCATGGGACAATGCTCAGTTCTCTGACCTACACCAGCCAGCCACTAATATCTTAATTTACATTACTTTGCTCAGAGAAACTACCTCCCAAGCAAAGGTAGCTGAGACATTCTTAATTAATGATGTTGAAAAATCTTTAACTGTGTTTCTAGCTTTCTATGCAAACTCTTCCATTATGTACCCCATGGCATATTGCAGAGACCCCAAACTAGTTACATGAGACATAATGATAGTTTTCCATGGAGAAAAGACAAGAAATGCAAACAGATTATGCCTGTGTACAACTCAGAATCATTCATGTGTTGAAATGATTACGGCAGGAGACACCAACAGTGCACCAGAGTTCTGTTTTCTCCTCTTCCTCACTAGCACTGGGTGTTTGTTGAGGTATTGATAGGATACATTCTGGCAGGTGTAGCTGTCATTTCAATTTGCACATCTCTGATGACTAGTAATGCTGAGCATAGTTTCATATGTCTCATGGCCATCTGTATGTTCTCTTTGGGTAAGTGTCTATTCAGAGCATTGGCCCATCTTGTGACTGGATTGTATATCTTCCTGGTGTTGAGTTGCACATAGTTTTAAAATATTTTGGAATTTAACACCTTATCAAAATGTACCATTGGCAAATAGACCACACACTTTTGTAACTCAGAGAACTCAGAGGTAAACACTGAATCAAGAATCCAGAGAGGTTTCCAGAGGGAAACGGTAACATGAAGAGGAAACTGCACAGAAAACCAGCCCAAACATACAACTGCACTTTCTCCTGGGATGGTCCTTGTGTTTGGGGACACTGATCATGGTGGTCACAGCCTCTCCCTCAGGAGGTGTGTCTGGGCTCACACTGACTTCCCCTCACTGTGTCTCACACAGTAATACATGGCCATGTCCTCAGATTCCAGGTTGCTCATTTTAAGAGAGACTGTGCTCCTAGGGTTGTCCCTGGAGATTGTGAATCTTCCTTGAACGGATGGCGCGTACCACTGACTACTTCCCATTTGCTTGCTCACTTGTGCCACCCACTCCAGGCCCTGTCCTGGAGCCTGGTGGACCCAGTCCATGCTGTAGTCAGTGAAGGTGAATCCAGAGGCTTTGCAGGAGAGGCTCAGGGACCCCCAGGGCTGCACCAAGCCTCCCCCAGACTCCAACAGCTAGACTTGGCACAGGACACCTGCAAACAGAGGAACAGACTAAAAACTGTCCCTGTAGTGATGTTGCCACTGAGCCCAATACCAGGGACGCTCCTTTGACAGCAATGAGATGGGAGGCCTAAAGGAGTATAGACCCCATGGTGTGGACACAGGACTGGGTGACCACTGAGGCTCATCTCCGGGATCTGCAGGGACATGGGGCTGGGCAGGTTTTCATGAGCAGGGCCGGGTCCTCATTTGCATGTCTTTCCCCTGTGGACCTGTCTGAGCTGCCCACCCGGGCTCCTCCCTCCCTGCCTTGCATTCGGGGAAGGCAGGGACAGGATGCCTGGGCGTGGACCCATGGCCACCCTGGTGCTCTGAACATTGTAGTGTTTGTCTGTGAACAGTGACAGACAACTAGACCAGGATGGAAGTGGGATATTTAAGGTTCTCCAGGCAGGTTACATATAAATTCACTAAGACACTTCCTGGGATAGGATTGTGAAGACGACAGTGCCCCTGGTGGTTGATCTGAGCCACACAGGTGGGCAATACTGGGTCTGAAACAGCTTGCTGAGACAAGGCAGGGGTGTCTGCGAAAGAAAAGTTCTTCCTTTCATTTTGAAATGGTGGCACCCCAAATCTTGCTTCTTCCTTGTATTCAGCTGACTTTCTGCAAGGACACCTGGACCTCAGGGCTCCCACCTATGGGAAAACCTGAGGAACAGAACCCTCCTCAGTGCCAGGAGCACAGGCCTCTGGTGCCAGGGCCTCAGCTTGCATGTGTGAGGTGCTGTGACCTGCCTGGATGCACCTCACACACTCCAGAGTGTCCACCATGTGACACATCAGAGCCTCTTGAACTCAGTGGGGATGTTTTCTGACATTTCTGGGCACCTCCGTGAGCAGAGGGGGTGAGTAGAGGCACAGACTCACCGAGCACAGAGGGCAGCTCCCTGCCCAGGAGCCGGTCCCTTCACTGCAGCCCTGAAACCCTGTGTCTCTGCCTCTAGGACTGTGCCCTAGACCACAGGAGAAGGTCGTAGTGGAGAGGACAGAACAGCTCCATCCTCCTCTTTCTGGGACAGGAGGACCAGGCCCCACCCATTTGTGCTTCTGTCTGAAATGACATAAACGGGGCATGACAGTGACCACTTTGTATGTGAACTCCATGAAAGGAAGCGGCTCTGTCAGATGTGACCATCTCTGTTATTATATCATTTCCCACCTGGGGGCAGAGGGGGCTCTGAGGCCTCCCCTCTAACTGCACAAGGAACACCTGCTCTGCTCCAGGCCTCACCTGTCTCACCTGTGTGAGGGGGCAGGTCACCATCATCAGGCCAGTGTCCTCACCTCTGCATTGATGTTGATCCATTTGTTCTATATTTTGAAAGACAATTTCCTTTATTTTTCATTAACAAAATCTTGAATGCAAGTATTGCAGCCTGGTGTCCCATAGTATCTGTTGGATGAATTAAGTAATAAGCTCCACCTCCCTGCATGTACATTGTTGAAGAGCCACCAGAGGCTGGATAGTGCAGCTGAACAAGAGAAATCTGAGCCCTTTGGTGAGAATCTGAAAATGTGGGCTGACCTGTTCCAGGGCAGAAAAGAGAGAGCCCCTGACACGCAGAGCCCAGGGAGTCCATACTCATCATGGGTCCCTGGTGCCATGGTTTGAGCAGCTGTGCACAGGTCAGATGTGGCTGCAGGGAAAATGTGTCCTGGGTTCAGACTAGTCCACATTGTTGATCACTGGAATAAAATAGAACAGGTAAACCTAAGTTTATGTGTGTTGGGTGGGTTACTCATGTGTGCTAATTCCAGGAAAGCAGGAATCAGGTCTCCTGGGGGAAATGAGCTGCAGCATTGGGGATATTCACAACTGAAGAGGGAACCAGATCATGTTGCTGTGACAGTGGGTAAACCCGATGGGAAACGTGACAAGTCGTCACATAAGAAAATAGAGTTGAGGATGTAAGTGAGAGTCACCAGTAATGAGCACACCCAGGTAAAGCAACCCTCAGGACCCGTGGAAGATTAATGTGTGGGAACTTCATGTTCAGGAGATGGGAAGTTTTGTCTGACTCTATTTCCCCTGCACACTGGATACTGAGAACTGAGTGTGACCCTACAACCAATGGACTATTGTTGGAGGACAGTGGGCATCTGTGTGGGTCCCTGGGGAGCAGAAGTGTGAACTACAGAGACATAGGCAGTGCTCCTTGGTCTGAGTCCTTCAGGGAGTTTGGAGCTGAATGTGCAGCAGCTGCACAGCCTCCTTTGTGGGGTTTGTTCTCTAGACTCTTCTGGGACCAGTTTCAGTCACTGGGGATGGAGAAGAACCTCAGTCATGACCAGGTGAGTTTAGGTAAAATTGTAGGTAAAGATTTGTGAGTAATTACTTTGGGTCATACAAATGTTGGTGTTAGAATCCTGCTGTCTGCGTGTGAGTCTTATAAACGCTGCCACCAAGTCTGTACCCAATGGGAGGCAACTGGGACAGAGACCTGACTCAGAGCATCACTGGGAAAATGCTACCTGGGTGCATGAATCGGGGTTTGACCAAGACTGAAGACACACACGTCCAGGTGCTTGTTTCTTCAGGTTCTGACTCTCCTTGTTGTTTAGCCAGTTCACGTTTTCTCTCCTCTGAAACACAAACACATTTACTGGAGTCATGAAGACAATTTGTTGAGAGTGTGCAGGAGCACAAGTCATGTGTGCATTGATCTGGTACCTTATGTCTTTCCAAATTTCACTTTCTAGTTCTATCAGTTTTATTGTGTAGTTTTTAGGGTTTTCTATATACAAGGTTATGCCATATGTATAGAGATAAAGTGAAACATATTATTTTGTTTCTGATTTAGATATTTTAAAATATTTATTCTTGTCTAATTATTCTGAAAAAAATGTCCCATTCTGTGGAATAGAATAGTCACAGGGGTCCCGTGTGTTGGTCCTGATGTTGGAAGAGTAGCTTTGACATTCTCTCTGTGCAGCATGTGTCACTTGTTGGCCTCTCCAATGTGGCCTTTGCTATCTCGATGCACATCTCTTCTGTGCCTAGTTGGTTAAGGATGTAATCATGACGCCATTCTCAGTCGTTAAGCGATTCTTGCTGCATCTGTGTATATGACGGTGTCATCCGTCCTCCCTTCTGTGGACGAGGTGCGCAGTGACCGGCTCACACACACTGACCCGTCCTTGCATCCAGGGCTGCGTCCCGCTGGGTCACGTGAATGATCCTTTCAACGTGCTGTTAGATTCCTAGCACATTGTGAGGACGTCTGCATCTGTGTTCATCAGGGATATTGATTTGTTCTTTTTATGTTCTTACAGGCCCCACAGGCCCCGTGCCCCGCGGACGCGCAGGCCACACTGGGAGGTGAGAAGCCTGAGGCCTGAGCGCTCCACCGCGCACGCGCAGCCGCTGGCTGGGCTCTCAGAGCTGAAAGGAGCGGCTCTGAGGAGAAGGCTCCTTACCTCAGGCCCTCTCGCAAAGGCCGACGGGATAGCAGTTCCACCGGGAGCCAAACAGCCGGGTTCCGGGCTGCTCCGAAACTACATATCCCAGGAGGCACTGCGCAGGGTAGACCATGAGCCTTAGCGGTTGTGCTCCAGGGGCACGTGCTTTGCCTCCAACCCATTAGCCACTGTGGGGACAGAAGACAGAGCGACACGGGAATTGAGCTGCCAATGGAGAGCGCGGGAGGGGCAGGTGGGCAAGGCCTGTGGTTTCCTTGGATACCGAGGACGCGACTTTGCTGGAGAGGGCGGAGCTTTCCAGTGAGACCCCGGAAGTCAGGACCCACAGGGAGACTGAGGAGCATAAATACGTGTCAGTGCGGAGGGAGGGGACACTGTGGTTGTCGGGGTGAGAACGACAGGCAGCCTCGGGGACCCTCAGGGGTGCTGAGGTCTGACCTTCACGGACGAGGACAGGAGCCGGGAGGGTCCCTGCAGGGGACACACAGCCAGACCGGGGCGGGCTCACTCCGACGGGATGTGCAGGACCGAGCCCGGGGCCGCTCGTCCCGGCTCCGCGCCCGCAGGCCCCTCGGACGTCCCTGTGCTCGTCGTCGGCCCCTAAGTGAGGGCGACGGCCCCGCCCTGCCTGAGCCCAAAGGGCCGGAAGGACCAGTGAGACCGTGGACGTGACCCGAGCACAGGCCGCAGGGCCGCAGGGTAAAGTGCTCATTTCATTTCAGGGGGGACACTGAGTCCCAGTCCCCGAGACCAACCCAGAGATCAGGGCTTGTGCGGACAGCAGCGCTGACCTCTGTCCCCAGCGACCCCGGTTTAGGACTCAGATGAGACCCAGAAGGACCGTCACTGAGGTGCGATGGGGAGGACACGGGCCGACTGTGCTCCTGGCGCTGCCTCTGGTGTGTCTGTGTCCCCTGCTCCTGGCTCTTCACCTGAAGGTGAGGGGTGTTCACTGAGGGGCTCTGTGGGGCCTCTTCTACCTTCTATGATTCTGGGGGTCATTTAAAAATGAAAAAGAAAATTCTCCTTTCCGGCTCATGTTTCCCTTTCGGTGCCACATCCTCTTCCCACAAATGATTCTCTAAGTTCTCAGCAAAGACACTGCGGACAGTAACGTTGAATGAAATGCAAGTGCGGACCCTGAACGCCTTCCAAGAAGCTGAAGCCCGTGGCCACGGGCGGGACCAGACTCACTGGGAGCTGCGCCCTGACGGGGGCTGGTTCCTGATGAGGGGCCGCAGTCTTCACCGCCGAGGCCCAGGGCTCCTAGCTGCCCGTCACCTTCTATAAATGTAGTATCTTCTTGTTATTTTCTCCTCCTTTCTGTCCTAGTCCGTCTTCCTTCTTCCTCCTCCTAGTGAAGACTCACAGTAGGTGCTGGCTTTTAGGTTCACCAGGTTCCCCCCGAATATGAGTTCTGTGCTTGGCTTTGTTTCATGTGGTCCTAATTATTCAGACTGACCTTTAAACTGTCTTTTTAAATGACAGCCGGTGGGAATAACTTCGAAAAAGGCATTGGCTTAAGCAAGGTGAGAATGCACTCAAATTTGTTGACCACGTGCCATATATTTCTGGATTCAATGAGAATTTCTACTAGATAATTTTGTTTCTATGGTAATTTCTGAGACAAACCGAGTAAATGGAATTGGCAACAAATCCTTAATTGTCTATATGATAAAATGATTATTTTACTATTTTGAATACAATAAAACTAAAGATAATTGAAAAATTAGTTTTCTGATCATATGAGTTTTTAAGTCGATAAAATTATTTATAATTAACATTCATGCAAGATATTAAAAAGTTATTGAGCCCTGGCTGGTGTGGCTCAGTTGGTTGGAGCACCATCAATGCACCGAAGGGTCGTGAGTTCAATTCCAGTCAGGGCACATACCTAGGTTGTGGGTTCAATTCTCAGACAGGATGATTTCCGAGGCAGCCAATCATTATTTTTCCCTCCATCTATGTCTCTGTCTCTGTCTCAGTCTCTGTCTCTGTCTCTCTCCCCCCCTCCCCCTTCTCCCTACCATCAATGGAAAAACATACCCTTGGGTGAGGATTAAAAAAAAAGTTATTGCCCAGCCCGTGTGGCTCCAGTGGACTGAGTTTCGACCTATGGACTGAGAGGTCCTGGTTCCATTTTCATTCTGGTCAGGGCACATGCCGGTGTTTCCTGCTCCATCCCCAGTAGGGGGTATGCAGGAGGCTGATCTGTGTGTCTCTCTCATACCAATGTTTCTATGTCTCTCTTCCTTCCTCCCTCTCTAAAAAAAATAATAATAATTTAAAAAAAGTTATTGATACCTTAAAA